CCACCCCTCCAGGGAGGCCCCGCCTGAGCGAGGAGGGTATTCGCATCACCTGTTATTTATCAGGTTTCGTGCCCCTCCCACCCCTCCAGGGAGGCCCCGCCTGAGCGAGGAGGGTATTCGCATCACCTGTTATTTATCAGGTTTCGTGCCCCTCCCACCCCTCCAGGGAGGCCCCGCCTGAGCGAGGAGGGTATTCGCATCACCTGTTATTTCTCAGGTTTCGTGCCCCTCCCACCCCTCCAGGGAGGCCCCGCCTGAGCGAGGACGCTATTCGAACACAGTGTTATTTATCAGATTTCCTGCCCCTCCCACCCTCCAGGGAGGCCCCGTCTGAGCGAGGAGGGTATTCGCGAACAGTGCTATTTATCAGGTTCCGTGCCCGTCCCACCCCTCCAGGGAAGCCCCGCATGAGCGAGGAGGGTATTCGCAAACCATGTGATAGAAAAGGATGGAGAGGGCGAGGGCAGGTCGGCAATTTCTCTACAAAATGTTGCTTGATCCCGCTAGCCCAAAAACATCATTATGTGGGGAACTCCGTTAGCATAATTATTATTCTTCTTCTTCTTATTATTATTATTCTTATTCTTCTTATTATTATTATTCTTATGTTTCTTCTTCTTATTATCCTTCTTCTTATTATTCTTCTTAGTATGATTATTCTTATTCTTCTTATTATTCTTCTTCTGCTTATTATCATTGTTATTGTTAGTATTAGTATTCTTATTATTAATATTATTATTATTGTTATTCCTCCTCCTCCTCCTCCTCCTCCTCCTCCTCCTCCTCCTCCTCCGCCTCCTCCTCCTCCTCCTCTTCCTCCTCCTCCTCATCCCCCTCCTCTTATGGTTATTATTAGTAATTTGTCTGATTCGTCGTCTTCGTCTTCTTAGTAGTATTATTATTATTATTAATATTATTAGTATTATTATTATCAGTATTATGAATAATAATAGAATTAGTATTATTATTATTATCATTATGATTAGTATTATTAGTATTATTAAAAGCATTATCATTATTATTATGATTACTATTATTATTATTATTATTATTAGTAGTATTAGTACTACTATTATTATTTCTATTATTATTAGTGTTATTATTATTCTTATTAGTAGTATTATTAGTAGTAGTATGAGTATTCGTATTATTATTGGTAGTATTATTATTAGTAGTAGTATTACGTGTAGTAGTATTATTATCATTCTTCCTATTCTTAATAGTAGTGGCATGCGTATTTATAGTAGTATTATCCTTAATCGTCTGGGTATTATTATTGGTAGTCGTATTAGTCTTATTCGTATTATTGGTATTAGTATCCGCCTTATGTTTCTTATTAATATTCGCCTTACTATTATTGTTAGTATTATTCGTATTATTAGTATTATTATACGTAATATCATCATTAATATTATTAATAATATTGATACTATTAGTAGTATTAGTATTATTATCATTATTATTATGCTTCGTCTGTTTCGGAGTAATCTTCTTTTTCCTCCTCCTCCTCCTCCTCCTCCTCCTCCTCCTCCTCCGCCTCCGCCTCCGCCTCCGCCTCATCCTCCTCCTCCTCCTCCTCCTCCTCATCCTCCTCCTCCGCCTCCTCCTCCCCGCCTCCTCCTCCTCCCCATCACCCCCGCCCCCGCACCCTCAGCACGCCTCCTCTCCTCCATCCTCCTCATCATCATCAGCATCCATCATCACATCATCAATCATCATCATCATCATCATCATCAGCAGCATCATCAGCAGCAGCAGCATCATCATCATCATCATCATAATCATCATCATCATCATCATCATCATCACAACAGCAGCAGCAGCATCACCATCATCATCATCATTCAATCATCATCATCGGCATCAGCAGCATCATCATCATCATCAGCATCATCATCAGCACCATCATCCTCATCAGATCATCAGCATCCATCATCCTCATCTCATCATCATCATCATCATCATCATCAGCATCAGCATCAGCATCCATCATCATCATCACAGCAGCATCAGCACAGTCATCGTCATCATCATCATCATCATCATCATCATCAGCACATCATCAGCAAGCATCAGCAGCAGCATCAACATCAATCATCATCATCATCAGCATCATCATCATCATCAACAACAACAGCAGCAGCAAAAGCATCATCATCATCATCATCCTCATCATCATCATCATCAGCATCATCATCATCATCATCATCAGCATCATCATCATCATCATCATCATCATCATCATCATCAGCATCATCATCGGCATCAGCAGCATCATCATCATCATCAGCATCATCAGCACCATCATCATCATCAGCATCATCAGCATCACCATCATCCTCATCATCATCAGCATCATCATCAGCATCAGCATCAGCATCAGTATCACCATCATCATCATCAGCAGCAGCATCAGCATCAGCATCGTCAGCATCATCACCATCATCACCATCATCATCATCATCATCATCATCATCAGCATCATCATCATCATGATCATCATCACCATCGCCATCATCATCATTATCAGCATCATCATCATCATCACCATCATCATCATCAGCATCATCATCATAATCCTCATCATCAGCACCATCATCAGCATCACCATCAGCATCAGCAGCATCAGCATCAGCATCATCATCATCATCGCCATCAGCATCATCATCGTCATGGTCATCATCATGGTCATCAGCATCGTCATCAGCATCATCATCAGCATCATCGTCATCCGCATTATCAACAGCAACGTCACCATAATCATCATCATCAGCATCATCATCAGCATCAGCATCATCATCATCATCATCATCAACATCATCACCGACATGATCATTAGCATCATCATCATCAGCATCCTCATCAGCAGCAGTATCGCCATCATGATCAGCAACATCGTCAGATTCATCATCATCAACATATTCATCCACCTCCGCACCATCATCATCAGCAGCATCAACATCATCATCATCATCATGATCATCGTCATTATCAGCGTCATGATCATTACCATCCTCATCATCATCATCACCGTCATCATCAACAGCATCATCAGCATCATCAGCATCATCAGCATCCACAGCATCATCATCAGCGGCATCGGCATCAACATCATCAGCATAAGCAGCAGCATTATCATCATCATCGTCATCATCCGTCCTCCTCCTCCTCCTCCGCCTCTTCATGCTTTTCCTCCTCCTCTTCTTTCTCCTCCTCCTCCTCCTCCTCCTCCTCCTCCTCCACCTCTCTCTCATCCCCCCCCCCTCCTCCTCGTCGTCCTCCTCGTATTCCTCCTCCTCCTCGTCCTCCTCCTGCTCGTCTTCCTCCTCCTCCTCCTCCTCCACCTCCTCCTCCGCCTCCTGCTCATCATCCTCTTCCGCCTCGTCCTCCTCCTCATGATCGCCCTCAGCATCAACAACAACAGCATCATCATCATCATCATCATCATCATCATCATCATCATCAGCATCATCATAAGCAGCAGCATAAACAGCATCAGCAGCATCGTCACAGGCATCACCAGCAACAGCAGCAGCAGCATCATCACCAGCATCATCATTATCCTCATCAGCAGCATAATCCTCATCTGCATCAACATCAGCATAAACATCTTCTTCATAATCACCATCATCATCAGCAGCAGCATCAGCGAACGCATCATCATCAACATCAGCATCAACGTCATCAGCATCATCATCATGATCAACACCATCAGTATCGTAGTCATGATGATCAGCAACATCATCATCAAGATCAACAGCATCACCATCATCATCAGCAGCATCAACCACATCATCATCAGCAGCAGCAGCATCCGCAGCATCATCAGCATCAACAACAACATCATCAACATCATCAGCACCAACAGCATCCGCATCATTAACATCAGCAGCATCATCATCAGCATCATCAGCATCATCATGATCAGCATCCTCAACAGCATCAGCATCATAATCAGCATCAGCACCAGCATCAGCACCAGCATCATCCTCATCAGCATCATCAGTATCAGCATGCACCGTCTTCTCATCTTCTTCTTCCTCCTCCTCCTCCTCATCCTGCTCCTCCTCCTCCTCGTCCTCTTCCTCCCTTCTCCTTCTCCGTCTCCTTCTCCTTCGCCTCCTCCTTCTCCTTCTACGTCTCCTGCTCATCCTCCGCCTCCTCATCCTCCTCCTTCTCTTCATCATCATCATTAGCAGCATCATCTTCATCAGCATCATCATCGTCGTCATCATCATCATCCTCATCATCTTCATCATCATCATCATCATCATCATCATCATCATCAGAATCATCATCATCCTCATCATCCTAATCATCATCATGATTATCATCATCCTCATCATCATCATCAGAATCAGCATCATCATCAACTTCATCATCATCATCATTATCATCAGCAGGATCATCATCACCACCATCATCGTCATGATCATCATCCTTATCATCGTCACCATCATTAGAGGCAACATCATCTTCTTCATCATCATCACCATCATCATCGCCACCGTCAGCATCATCATCGTCATCATCAGCATCATCATCAGCAGCATCATCATAATCACCACCATCACCTCATCATCACTAGCAGCAGCATCGGCATCATCGTCATCAGCAGCAGCAACATCATCATCAGCATCATCATCATCAGGACCACCATCATCATCAGCAACAGCATCATCATCCTCAGCAGCATCATCATCGTCACCATCATCATCAGCATCATCAACATCAGCATCATCATCAACAACATCATCGTCATCATCCGCATCCTCATCCTCATCCCCATCCTCATTATCATCCTCATCCTCCTCATCATCATCATCATTCTCATCCTCATCTTCATTATCCTCATCCTCATCATCCCCCACTCGCAAACCTCCCTCTCCTCATCGTGCCAGGAGCAGGTCTACGCTTGCCGCATCAGAACGCTGGCAGAATGTGTGGCCGCTCGCTCAGACGCAGGAACGCTCGAGCTGGCTGCGTCTTCTTCCCCGGCTCGCCTGTGGGAGCCACTTCCCCTCGTCGGTCCTGGAGAGGGCCGAGAGGGCCTCCATGGTGAAGATGTTGCCCAGGGTGAACTGGCGCTCCAGGGTCGCGTCGTGCACGCGGCTGGGCCTCGAGATCTTCCTGCCGTTCCACGGCTCCGGGCCCGGCTGGTCAGACCTGTAGTCGTCGAACGCGCTCCGCTCGCGCGTGGTCAGCCTCAGGAGCCGCGGCATCACCGGCGTGTACACGCACTTCCTGAAGGCGTGCTCCAGCCCCCCCGTCAGCTTGCCATGCCAGTCCAGAAGCTCTACAGCGACGACTGCGTGGACAATGGCGTCGGCCTGCTTTTCCATCTGGCTCATCCTCCCCGGCGCGATGACGCAAAGCTTACCGCCGGGGGGGACAGGCCAGGGAAGCCATTGAAGCCCCCTCCCTTCTCCTGCTGATCCTCCTCCTCCTCCTCCTCCTCCTCCTCATGATAATCATCCTCATCATCATCATCATCATCATCATCATCATCATCATCATCACCACCATCATCATCATCATCATCAGCATCATCATCATCATCATCAGCATCATCATCAACATCATCAACAACATCATCATCATGCACCGTCTACTCCTCCCGCCTCTCCTCAACTCATTCTTCTGCAACCTCTGCCAAACCCTCCTCCGACTCAGTGTCCTCCATTCCCGTTCCGTCCTCCATCCTACTCATCCTGCTCATCTTACTCAACGTCCCCATCCTCCCTTCTCGCTAGACCCCTATCCTTCCCGATCCCACTCCAGACCCGTCCAATCCCCTCCTCAGTATCATCAAACCCATCATCCCCATCCTCACAACCAGCCTTCCTCATCACCATCAACGTCATCATCATCATCAACATCATCATCATCAGTATCAGCATCATCAGCAGCAGCAGCCCTATCATCATCAGCAGCATCAGCATCATCATTATCATCATCACCACCACCATCATCAGCATCATCATCACCACCATCGTCGTCATCATAATCATCATCATGCCCATCCTCATCCTCATCCTCAGCAGCAGCAGCAGCTGCATCCTCATAATCATCATTATCAACGTCGTCATCATCATCAGCAGCAGCATAACAATCAATCAACTCATCATCACGAGAATCTGCACCCTCCTCCTCCTCCTCCTCCTCCTCATCATCATCATCATCCTCGTCACCATCATTATCATCATCATCATCATCAGCAGCAGCATCAGCATCCTCATCGTCAGCATCATCATCATCATCATCATCATCATCATCATCATCATCAGTACCATCATCGTCATCATCAGAAGCACCATCAGCATCATCAGCAGCAGCATCATCATCACCATCAGCATCATCGTCAGCATCGTCATCATTATTACACCTGAGAAAACCCCAATCACAGTGGATGATTTGAAAATTGAAACTGTGGATCTTGAGATCGATTGTGAGATCGATAATGGGATTGATAGTGGAATCGATAGTGAGGACGATTGTAAGGTCGATCGTGAGACCGAGAGTTAAATCGATTCAATGAGATCGATAGTGAGATCGATCGCGAGGTCGCTCATGCGATCTATAGTGAGATCGCTTGTGAGATTGATAGTGAGATCGATTGTGAGATCGATGGTGAGATCGATCGAGAAATCGGTAATGAGGTCGATGGTGAGACCGATCGATAAGAAGATCGACCAGGAACCGGGGAACCCAGGAACCTCGCAGCCCTTCGAAATCGGACCGGAAACCGGAACCGGGAACCCGGAAACCCGGAACAGGGAACCCGGGAACCCAGCCTGCCACTAAAATCGGCGGGGAACTTTCGCCAAATCCTTCAACATCCGCTAGGACCACTTCAGCGCAAGCACTGATTGGGGAATTATGATTATCATCATCATCGTCATCCTCATCATCAGCAGCATCATCAGGAGCAGTAACAGCGTCATTACCATCACCAACAATAGCATCAGCATCAGCAACATCATCATTGCCAACAACAACAACAACAACAACAGCAACAACAACAACAACAACAACAACAACAACAACAACATCATCACCAACATCACCATCCTCATCATCATCCTCATCATCATCCTCATCATCATCCTCATCATCATTTGCATCATCATCATACGCATCATAATCATAATAAGCTCCATCAACCTCACAAGCATCATCAACACCATGAAATTGATCAGCAACATCAGCATCATCGTTATCGTCATCATCGGAAGCATCTTCATCATCACCAGCATCATGAACACCATCATCAGCATCATCACCATTGCAACACTCATCATCAGCAGCAGCATCGTCGTCATCATCATCAGCATCATCAAAAACATCGTCGTCATCAGCATGCTCATCCTCACACTCACTCTCACCATCACCACCATGATCATCATCAGCATCATCGTCATCATCAGCATCATCCTCAGCATCAGCTTCATCATCATCACCATCAGCATCACCGGCAGCCTCATCCTCACCATCATAGTCACCTGCATCATCATAATCATGCTCAGCATCGTCGCCACCACCACCACCATCAACATCAACATCAACATCAGCATCATCATCATCATCATCATCATCATCATCATCATCATCATCATCATCATCATCATCATCGTCATCGTCATCGTCATCGTCATCATCATCAGCATCATCAGCAGCATCAGCAGGATCATCATCAGAAGCATCATCCCTCTCACCCTATTCCTCTGATGTCGTCCCCTTTGATTACTAGTGCTTTCCTGCTCCTGCTGCGGCGCCTCCCCCTCTCCCTCGCCCACCTCGTCCTCGTCCTCCTCCTCCTCCTCCTCCTTATCCTCTTCCTCCTCCGTCTCTTGTTTCTCCTCTTCCTCCTCCTCCTTCCTCCGTCATTTCTCTGACAAGTCACTCCTACATGTCGCACCGCCACACGTGTCAGTAGGGCGGGCGGCGGGCTGGACGCCTCGCCCGAGGCTTCCTCGAAATGGATGATCCTGAAGCTTGAATTCCCACCGACCCCCTGGGCATAGGTAGGTGGTTGAACGGTTTTATGTCTTCTCTCTACTAAGATCCCACCCTTCCCCTGCTCGGGGAGGGGTTCATGAATCCCCCATATCCCCTCCCCTGGACCTGGAAGGCGAAGGGGACCGAGGTGGCAGAGGGTGCTTTTTAGTACAGGATGGCTCCAAGAGGGCCTCCAGGAGTTCAAGATGGTCTCCAAGATGGGTCAAGAAACCTCAAGATAGCTCAAGCTAGCCTCCCCTCCGACGCACATCCAAGAGGCCTCAAGATGGCCCGAAGACGGTTTACAGCGCCCGCCGGATCCTCCGAGGACCCCCCAGGCTCCGAAACCTATGGAAACTGAATGTGTGGTTGCCTTCTCGCTCTGTCGCTTCCAAATGGCTGTTGAAGCCTCATGATGGCCCCAAGACGGCCCAAGAGAGGCCCAGGAGGGGCCCAAAATAACCCAAAGAGAAGCCCAGGAGCGCCCAAGAGCGCTCCAAGAGCGGCCGAAGAGGGCCCCAAGACGCCATTTTAGAACCTCCGCGGGGGGGGAATTCATAGACCCTCATCTTTTTGAGCCATGGGGCCCACAAGGCCTCCCAGACCCCTCCAATGAGCCCAAAGAGAGCCCCAAGACCCCCAAAGCGAGCCCCGAAGAGGGCCCCAAGAGTGCCCCAAGAGGCCCCACGGGGGCCCAGAGAGCCCCTAAGATGGCCTCAATCGTCCTTCGAAAACGTCTCACAGCAACATATCTTCAAAGCCCGACTTCACATCATCTTTGTCATCGTCCGTTCCTTCCCTAATCCTTTCTTGCCTCCTCCCTACTCCTCCTCCTCCTCCTCCTCCGCCTCCTCCTCCTGCTCCTCTTCCTCCTCCTCCTCCATCTCCATTTCCTCCTCCTCCTCCTCCTCCTCCTCCTCCTCCTCCTCCTCCTCCTCCCCCTCCTCTTCCTCATCGTGCCGCATTCCTCCCCCCCCCTCCTCTCTCCCCCTTCTCCTCTTCCTTCTCGCGTTGTCCTCCTCCTCCTCCTCCTCCTCCTCCTCCTCCTCCTCATACCCCAAGATGGTCTCAGGAAGTCGAGTACGGCTCAAGACAGCCTCCGACGGACCTAAAAGAGGCCTCAAGACAGCTTCACGATGGCCCAGGAAAGCTGAGCAAGGCTCTAGACAACCTCGGACAGCTTCTAGCCGAAAATGGCTCAAGGCAGCCTCGAAGAGGCCTCAAGAAAGCCTCTTATCGTCTCTGGGTGGGCTGGTGGGGATATCCGAGGCGTCACGAATGACAAGTTGCTACAAAACGTGCAAGGCCAAACCATGTTCAAACGTTGCTCTCGTCCCAGCGCTGCGCACATGCGGCACATGCGTAATAAAACATCTTGCTGCAAGTACAAAGATGGAAGGCGATACCTTTTCAACATTGGGCTCTCTCCACAGTACCGCGCACATTCATGTTCAACGCTCGCAAAAAGTACACGCCTGAAGAGCTACTCTGCTTCAAGATGGGGCTCTCTCCTCAGCGCCGCGCACATCCGTTTTGAAAGCAGCTACAACGGATGCAGCGCGGTACGATTTAGAAGTAAATTCGGGTGTCTCGCCTCAGCGGCTCGCACACGCGTCATAAAGACTTGCAACGGTCACACAGGTGGAAGACTGTCATCCCTCAGAATTTCAGGAGCGGGCATTTGCTTCAGACTTCCTCCGAGTGCTCCACCATAAGCCTGGAACCAGGCGATAGCTTCACGGATGGCGGGCGGCCCTTCTTCAGACCGGGGCTCTCGCGTGCGGCGCTCGCAAACTGCAGAAGCGGAAGCGCAGAGCTCGCACCACGGCTACACGGACGGGGGGGGCGGCTCCTCCAAACGAGGCTCTCGCTTGACATCTCGCCGAGCTGCACTTGCGAGCATCCCTGCCTGCACTCCCAAAGACACCCGCTGGAAGGACGCATGGCATCTCCGCTTCAGACCTGGGCTCTCGCCCGAGTGGCGAAGAGCAATTGGGTGCTCGTCCTCCAGGGGCCCCTCCTGTACTGCTGTGGCAGGGCAGTGCCGCAAAGACTTGTGCTGTGGGGAGGGGATTTGGGACGGGAGGGTGTGATGCGACATCGTTGGCGCACCCTGGGTTCACTCTGGTCCTCCTCTTCCTCCTGCTCTTCCTCCCGCTCCTCCCTCCTCCTCCCAAAATCTGTGCCCATCCCCTCTCATCTTCCTATGTCCCCTTCTTCGCTTCTGAAGCATCATGTTCACCATCCACCCGTATCGCCTTGTCCTCCTCATCCTCATCCGCCTCATCATCCCCCATCTCTGCTTGGCCCTCTCCTACGGCATTCGCATCCGCGACCTCGCCCTTCTCATCATCAACAACAGCGACTCAACAGTGATACTAGTCCCGTGATGCTGTCCAATGCGGGGCGCCACCAATCCCACGTAGTATGCTCACACAAAGGATGCCACTAGTTGTCATATTATATGTGTCTGTCCATCGGACTCTTCTGGGTCCTTCACGGTGCTCCGATTGTAACGTTAACCACATGTCAGGATCGGCGCGTAGCTCCCGCCATTGAGAACGGCGCTCTCGCAACAGCTCGGGTCACATTCCTTGATCACGTTCCTTGCGAGTCGTTGCCATCCGCTGGTCCTCCTGCTTATGATACTCCGGATCCCGCTGTTTCTGCGCCTCTTCCTCCTCATCCTCCTCCTCCGCCTGCGCATCATCCTGCTCATCCACCGCCACCTCCTCCATCTCTAATGCAGAACTCCCCCCGTTCTGATTACACATCGCACGCTGGGGGCCATTTGGGGGATTCAAGTTCTCAAGGACATCGCAGTCGCTGATAGAAACACATCGACGCAATGGAAAGGGACGAGTAGGAGCTCCCTCCCTCGCTCCTCCTCCAGTCTTATATTCCTACCCACCCCTCCCTTGGAGGGAAAGTAAGAAGAGGACGATCAGGATGAAGACGCCGACGAGGAGGACGACGACGAGAACGATGCCAACGATCCCATAGACCTCTCCTAGGATGCACTCTGGCAAGAACTTCGGATCCAGCCGTGGTCTCTACTTCTCCCCCCGACGCACGAGAAAGCCCAACAACCTGGACTGTCAACCCTCGCATCTCGGACGACGACGACGACGACGACGACGACGACGACGACGACGACGACGACGACACGACGACGACGACGACCAGGGTCCTGCGCTCGCGCGGCGGCTTCGGGGGCGGCGGCCGCTCCGAGATGGCCAGGCACACCACCCGGCCCGCCCTGGCGAGGGCGAGGACGGGCGGGGACGAGGGGCCAGGAGGACTGGGAGGGCGAGGACGAGGCCGAGGGGACGAGAGCCGGGAACAGGAGAAAAAGCTAGGGGACCACACTCGAACCCTACCCCTACCCCCCACGAGTTCTGAGGGGGAGGGGTGGGGTTCGCGCGTGGCCCCCTAAAAACGCCGTGAACAGAAACTTTTGGCGCTCCGCGCGGACTTCTTGGATCTGCGCTGGACCCCCCCCTCCCCGGCGCGCGGAGCGCGCCAGGGGCCCCAGCGCGGCCTCGAGAAATCCGCCCGGACCTCCGAGTTGTCATGTTTATGTCATCCCTCGTTCCCCTAAAAGGAGGACCAGGAGGGCGAGGGCGAGGACGAGGGGAGGACCAGAACCAGGCAGAGGACGAGGGCCAGGAGTGCGAGGCGGGGATTCATCCATACCCACCGCCTGGGAAACGACGTCCCGGTGCCCCAGCGAGCGGTGGATATGGATATATTTTGGCCCCCCGGAGGCCCGAACATGTCCATACCCACCGCCTGCGAGGTCCCCGAAAACTGATCCTCCAGGCGGTGGTCATGTATCAATTCCCGCCTCGGAAGGAGGTCGGCTGCACGCAAGAGTGACCCTGGGTAAGAGTGACCTTTGGTGCGCGGCTTTTTAGGGGGACCGCGGGGGGCCAAACCCGGGCGCGCAAGACGCTACTACCGCATCGCGCTCGGCGATCGGGGGGCCCCACTGGGCCCGCACCGAAGGTCACTCTGGCGAAAGGTCACTCTTACGTCTAGTCGAGAGGGCGAGGAGTCGGAGGGCCTCGGCCACGCACCCGGGTTGCACCACGTCTTGGCCCAGGCTTAAGTCGGGCCTGTCCCTCCACAGGGGGAATATTTACAAATAGTCAAAAAATAGTCTGGGGACGATGTTTTGAGCATTTTCGTTTTCGGGGCATTTTGGGGGATTGTTGGGGCATTTTTGGGTATTTGTCATTTTCGCGTATTTGGGGGCATGTGTTAAGCATTGTTTGGCTATTTTTCATTTTTCGTACAAGATCCCCCTGTAGGGGGACAGGCCCGCCTTAAGACCAGGCCCACCCTGGGCCTGCGATCGGCGCACGTGCGGCGTGGAGGAGGAGGAGGAGGAGGAGGAGGAGGAGGAGGAGGAGGAACGCGACGAGGGAGAAGGAGGAAGGAGGAGGCAGGAGGAGGGAGGAGGAAGGAGAGGGAGGAGGAGGAAGGAGGAAGGAGGAGGAGGAGGAGAGGGAGGAGAGGAGGAGGAGGAGGAGGAAGGAGGGAGGAGGAGGGAGGAAGGGAAGAGGATGAAGAGGACTTAAGACGTTAGTACGCTTCCTTTCGTGGATGGAAGACCTCTAGGTGGCTTGATGTCACAAGAGCTGCCACGAGCGCGCCACTGCGGGTTACTTCATCGGTTGGTGCTAGAGTCTGGATTATCGAGACCATGGAACGGAACGAGGATGAGCAGGAGAAGGAGGAGAAGCAATAAGAAAGGAGAAGGAGAGGGGAGGAGGAGGAGGAGGAGGAGGAGGAGGAGGAGGAGGAGGAGGAGGAGGAGGAGGAGGAGGCGCAGGAGGAGGAGGAGGAGAATGAGGCGTATCGGAGGCGGATCCCAGAAAAGCAAACTATAGGGGGGACGAGGAGCACGAGGATGGGAAGGAAGACGATGACGATGAAGAGGATGGGGAGGAAGTGGAGGAGGAAGAGGAGGAGGATGAGGCGGAGAAGGAGGAGGGAGGAGGAGGAGGAGGAGGCGGAGGGAGGAGGAGGAGGAGGAGGGAGGAGCAAAACGAGCGGGGGGAAGTAGGGAGACATAGAGAGAGGAGAGAGAGAAAGAGAGAGAGAGAGAGGAGATGAGGAGGAGGAGGAGGACAATGAGAATGAGGCGTATCGGAGGCGGATCCCCGAAAAGCAAACTATAGGGGGGACGAGGAGCATGAGGATGGCAAGGAAGACGATGACGATGAAGAGGATGGGGAGGAAGTAGAGGAGGAAGAGGAGGAAGAGGAGGAGGATGAGGCGGAGAAGGAGGAGGGGAGGAGGAGGAGGAGGAGGAGGAGGAGGAGGAGGAGAGGAGGAGGAGGAGAACGAGCGGGGGAAGTAGGGAGACATAGAGAGAGAGAGGAGAAGAAGGAGGAGGAGAAAGATAACGACGGTGCAGACGAGGAGGACGCGGACCCGGTGCGCCCTGACAAGGAGAGGGGGGCGAGGCCGGGGAGCAGGAGGGGAGAGGAGCGGAGTCACGAGTAGAGGAGGAGGAAGAGGAGGAGGAGGAGGAGGAGGGAGGAGGAGGAGGGAGGAGGAGGAGGCAGGTGACGAAGGCAGGAGTTCGAGGAGCGGCTGAGGATGAGGCTTCTTGAGGGGGCTGCCGCTGACAAGAGGAGGAGGAGGAGGAGGAGGAGGAGGAGGAGGAGGAGGAGGAGGAGGAGGAGGAGGAGGAGGATTGGGAGGAGGAGGAGGAGGAGGAGGAGGAGGAGGACGAGGAGGACGAGGAGGACGAGGAGGAGGAGGACGAGAAGGAGGAAGCCCTGGAGTCCACACATAGACCGAAGCCCCGAAAGCTCCGAAGACGCAAGGTCTCGGGACAGGATCTCACAAGCCCTTGGCGGCCTCCCTGCTGCTTGAGGGGAGACATTAGGGGAGGGCTGGCTTAAGGGGGGCGGGGTGGGGAACACCTCGAGCTGGAATCGGCGACGCGTCGCCGAGAAATCGGCGATCGGCCCCCGCTGGCGAAGCCGAGCGATCCTGGGCGGGATGAGCCATCAGGCACCTTAGCGGCGGTGAATGGGCGATCGGGGATCGATGCGTCCCCCCTTGAGCCTATCCTCACAACGGGCATGTCCTCCTACAGGCGGATTTGGGGGGATAAAAAAGACGAGCAGTCAAAACATATGATCAAGAACGGCCAAAAGAGCACGAACAAGAATCTTCATAGGATGTTTTACTCCTCTTGAGCATTCCTCCTGTAGAGGGGCATGCCCGACTGAAGCCTGTCCCCCCAATTGCCTTGCCCCCTGGCTTTCGCGCCGGGACTCAGCTCCGTGGCGGCCGTTCGGAACGATCTGGGCATCCCCAGGAACGGCAGCGGCGAGGGGCGCCTGCGACGAACGCTGCCCCCCCCCCCCCCCATGACGAGAGAGAGGCAGGCCGAGGCCGAGGTCGGCGCCGAGGAGCAGCGGGCCCGGCCTCTCGCGGGGCCGCCCGCTGCCGCCCTGCCCGCGCCGCACCGCGGCGGCGCCGCCCCCGATCTGAGGGGCGGGAGGGCCCGGAGACCTACGCCTGGCGCCCCTGCCTGCGTCCTCTCGTGCTCCTCTCGTTCTCCTCCTCCTGCTCCTGCTCCTGCTCCTGCTCCTCCTCCTCCTCCTCCTCCTCCTCCTCCTCCTCCTCCTCCTCCTCCTCCTCCTCCTCATCCGCATCATCATCCTTGTCCTCCTCCTCCGCCTCCTTCTCCCCCGCCTCCTCCCCCTCCTCTCACCTCCTCCTCCTCCTCCTCCTCCTCCTCCTCCTCCTCCTCCGCCCTCCTCCTCCTCCTCCTCCTCATTCCTCTCCTCCTCCTCCTCCTCTCCTTTCCATCCTCCTCCTCCTCCTCCTCCTCCTCCTCCTCCTCCTTCTGCTCCTGCTCCTGCTCCTGCTCCTGCTCCTGTTCTCCTCCTCCTCCCCCTCCTCCTCCTCCTCCTCCTCCTCCTCTCCTCCTCCTCCTCCCTATCCTCCTCCTTCACTCCTCCTGCTCCTCCTCCTCCTCCTCCTCCTCCTCCTCATCCTCCTCCTCTCCTCCTCCTCCTCCTCCTCCTCCTCCTCTCCTCCTCCTCCTCCTCCTCCTCCTCCTCCTCCTCCTCCTCCTCCTCCTCCTCTTGATTCCAACATAGTCGAACAGTGGTCCCCAGACTATTTTGATTGACTGGTTTGAAGGCTCCTCCTATAGAGGGACATGCCAAATTTAATCGAACGCTACTCCGCGGACCTCTGTTCGGAGGGGCCGGAGCGGGTAAAACGAGGAGGGTTTGGGGCCCCTTCGGGCCCCCCGATCTGGCCCACATCGGTGCGCCCCCCCAGACAGAACGCCGACCATGTCATCCTCTGTGCTTTGCCTCCAGTCGACCGACATGTCGGCCAGCCCGCATATGGCGGATCCCGGAATCCCTAAAACCAAACATGCTGTCAGCTCTTGGGGGGGAGCATCTTTCACTTCCGCCGGCCGTCCGCCGGCGGGGGCGGCCTCGGTCTGCCTTCGCCGCCGTCCGCCGCCCTTTCCGCCGCCTCCCGCCGAGGAAGAGATGGCGACTCCTTCGATCCTCCAAGGCGGGGCCCTTCCTGGAGCGCCCTGCAAAAGATCTCGACGCCCCGCCTTTTGCATCCCCCCCCCCGGCGATCGCCCACGCGCGGGCGCCGAAGCGGCACATCGCCGCGGCCGCGGCGGACAACAGAAGCAGCCGCAGCGCCGCCGGGAGCGGCGAGGCGGCCAGGCGCCTCCGAGCCTCCTCGGCGGAGGGTGCACCTGCCCCCTCATCTTCTTCCTCCTCCTCCTCCTCCTCCTCCTCCTCCTCCTCCTCCTCCTCCTCCTCTCTCCTCCCCTCCTCCTCCTCCTCCTCCTCTCCTCTCCTCCTCTCCTCTCCTCCTCCTCCTCCCCTCCTCTCTCCTCCTCCCCATCTTCCCTTCTCCTCCCCCTCCTCCCCTCCTCCCCCTCTCCTCCTCCTCCTCCTCCTCCTCCTCCTCCTCCTCCTCCTCTCCTCCTTCCTCCTCATCATCATCAATCAGCATCATCATATCATCATCATCACCATCATCATCATCATCATCATCATCATCATCATCATCATCATCATCATCATCATCATCATCATCATCATCATCATCATCATCATCATCATCATCATCATCATCATCATCATTCTCCTCCTTGTCATTCTCCTCCTTGTCTGGGTCCTCGCACCGCCCGCGCGCCCCAGGGGGCATCGCGCGAAGCGCGCCAGGCATGGCCGCCGAGCGCTGCGGGCGTGCCGAGCCAGGCGCGCCGCGGCAGGTGGGGGCGGCACGGCTCGGCCAGTCCTGGGCCAGGCTGGCTGCGGCCGGTAGGAACGCGGCACCCGACTGGGGGGGGCTCCAGGACACACTCACAAGCAGACACCAGTCCCAGGAGTCCCCTTCTTGTTTCTCACATGTTCTGGGTGTTCGTCTTCCCCCCCCCCACTTCCCAGAGTTTCCCATATTTTTCCTGGGAGTCGACGATTACTGATGTCTGTGTGTGGTTTTCCCCCTCCAGACTAACTTCGGGGCCCGAAAGCCGCGTTCGGCGGCGAACGACGAGGGGGGGAAGGAGATGGCCCTCTCAGAAGGCGGCGGGGCCTCTCAGTAGCCCTCGCGCCTTCGGAAAGTTTGTTGTATCTGCCAGGAAGGCTTAGAAAACTTCTGAGAAGGGCGGGGGACTTCCGAGCCTTCTGAGAAGGCCCGCCCCTTCTCACTTCCCCCCTTGCTCGCCGCCGCACCTAACTTCGTGGCCCGAAAACCGTGTGTTGACGGACAGCGTGGTGACCTCGGAATCCCCAACGTCGGAGGGGACGAAAGGGTAGGATACCAAAGGGCAGGGTGGAGAATCAGCTCACGTAGCTGGTTTTCCTGACGCCTCCTGGCGCCGAGAGGCGTCCATGTTTTGAAGAATGGGCTCAGCGGCGGGGCGGAAACCAGCTGTATACAACAGATTTCGTAACCCCCCCTTTCCCTATCCTACCCTTTCGTCCGGCCCGAGTGTTGACGAACAGCGTGGTGACCTCGGAATCCCCAACGACCTCACCGCGCGGTCCGTCACCGCACGATTTTGGGACCTCGGAGACCCCAGTGAATCCCCACTGACTCACCACGCGGCGTAATCACCACACCGTTCGCGGGCCCCCAGCTAACGCATGTACGATATACCTCTGGCCCAGATGGTAACATGAAGTTCGACGTGCGCAGATGGCTGCAGAACACGGCGAGAGCAGACCACGACGTGCCCACGACCCCAAAATGTCCTCCTCTTCCTCCTCCTCCTCCTCCTCCTCTTCCTCCTCCTCCTCACCCTCTTCCTCCTCCTCCTCCTCCTCCTCCTCCTCCTCCTCCTCCTCTTCACCCTGCTCCTCCTCCTCCTCTTCCTCCTCCTCCTCCTCTTCCTCCTCCTCATCATCACTCTTCCCAGCCAGAATCCTCAAGAATCCGATCGAGGGAAAGCGAGATACTGGAAGCAAGCGCTGCGCTGGTCGGGCAG